CACACTCACATTCACACACAAATTAAATGTACCCCCACGATACATGGCTCAGCAACTCGTTAAATAACAGTTTATTCATTTATTAATTAATATACTTTTTAAACGTTTTTGTAAGAGTTTTACAGCAGTTACAACACAAATAGGTTATACAAATGCCAAAGACCAGAGGTGTTATTAAAGACTAATTAACATACACAGAAAAGAACGGGGGAGAGATATAAGGACTATCGATGTTTGATACGAAAGAAGAATCAAACCACACCAAAGCACCCGCCAACCACCAACATAACATAGAGCACTGTTCCACAATTATTATTTTTTTAGCAAGAGTTTTACGGCACTTGCAACACAATAAGGTCATATAAGTGCCCAAGATTAGAGGTGTTACAAGAGAGTAACATACACAAAAAAGAAGGAGGGGAGATAAAGACGACAGATGTTTGATAGGAAAGAAGGAGCAAACCACACCAAAGCACCTGCCAACCACCAACATAACATAGAGCACTGTTCCACAATTATGTACATCAACAACCTGACAAACTACGAGAAACACTCGTACGCTACGTCAATTGTTCTGCAGCGGTTATTTTACATGAAAAGCGGTAAGCTCCTACACAAAGGGGCCTGGCTGTTTTGACACATTCAATTAAAGTGGATTTTAATGAGTTTTGTTTGCCGGATACTACTGTGATTTGAATAAACGGAAAAAGAACATAACGTGTCACAAGAGGTTGTCCGTATCAAAACAATGGCTATGGCACTTTTATGACTATGACAGTTTAAAATGCCCCAAAATGATTGGTCGCTTTTGAGCACAAGATGGCTATCCCGAAAAATGCCGTTTTCAGAAAATCGAAGGTAAAGTTTTTTCCCCTTGATCAGTTTCTTTAAAAGACAAGGAGAGTTTTCTCTATAGCCAAACAAATACACACACCAATGAAATCAAACTTCTCCTATAGGTAGGGCAATGCCTACTTTTGCTGTGGGTCAAGATTTCTGGAAACCCCCGAAATCGATGTTAACCCGCTTGTCCTTACAAGCGACCAATTATCCTCTGTCAAAATTGGTCTCATTAACAGAAGCCACTATAGTCCTCTTAACCCTCATTTCTTTTTTTTCGCTTAATTAAAGATATATTCCCGACTGCAGCAAAGCATTGTTCATCGTCAAATACTGACTGACGAATTGTTATCATTATTATTA